AAGTTTTTATTTTAAAAGGGTATACCTATATTCTTCTTGGTGCCATTCATATTTGAAGAAAAAATTTACCCCTGAGGTTAACAATTGAGGAATAAATAATACAGTTTATCACAACATAGGACATATGCATTGAAGTCGATGTTATTTTTACACGCTTTATATTAGCTTCACTTGTATGTTTGTGTGTTTGTTTGTATCCGACTCCTTTGGGCGTGATTTTGACTGACTTTAAACGGTCAGAATTCGTTCAAACTTTGTAGATATATCGAGGACCGATGACAATACACTAATTTCAAAAAAAAAAAAAAAAAAACGCACCCAACGCTTTTTATTCAAATTTATTAAAATTTATTTTCTATTTTTTTAGTTTGGTTTTCTATAAAAAGCGTATTTTTTAGTTTTTTAAAACCATTTTTTTCACATTAATATTTTTACCAAACATCAAAAATATTAAATTTAATGGCAGTCTTAATTAAAAAATGCACTGTACAAAATGTTAAGCAGGTAGGCTTCTAAAGTGAATTGACAAAATTAATAAGACTAACGTTAGTATGGGATATCTTTTGTTAATCTAAATAGTTAAGTACAGTAAATAAATATATACCAATACTACAATAGATATATATCAGAATATATACATATATGATACTCAGAGACTGAACAATATTTATTCGTGTCTCCCTATCGCTCAACAGATGGCGCTGTCGTCGAATTAGATGTCGATATTGTTTGTTGCCGCCACGCGTATATAAGGGAACTTTTGGTTTTTTAATAAATGGATCTTAGGCTACCTTGTTGTCTTACTTGGAAGTGGCTCCTGTCGATACTGTTGGAAATCCCTAAGTTGTTTTTTGGGACAAAACGTGCTTATCAAACAGTTACAGGTATATCAATCACTTATGGCGAAAGGTTTCATAATATCAGTATATTATTTAAACTTTTATCTCCTATTAGCCTCGTTTTTGCAAAAGAAAAAATACATTTATGAATTAAGAATAAAAAAAATTATAATTAATTATTTTTTTTATTATTATTTTACATGTGGCATTAAGTCCGCCTCGTGCAAGTTGTAATGCAGGAAGTGTAAAAATAAAATAAATAAATATATGTGACATGGTGAACTTATGGTAAACCTCAGATAATAAAAAAGCGTTAGTAAAATCAAACTCAATTTTAAAGGCTGTTTTAAATTGTGCAATATACGTGGTATACAACAATAGATTTCAGTAGAATCAAATCCGTGATTTCGTAATTCGCCCTTTAACGAAATATTTCATTAGACACGCAATACTAAAACATTCATGTACCTACCTCTGCATTCTAAGTAAAGGCTTAATAGCATGCACTATAAACTAAGTTTTGTGACTTAGATATCAACTTAAATAGACTATTCAATATTAATGATTAAATTAACTAAAGATCATCCTGTTTTAGTGTTAATTTTCTTAAGCGAACTCAATTTTATTACCAATAAACAGGATGCAGAACAATATGACAGCAGTACCGAATACTTCAAAAACAATGATAAAAAACGAAGTGTGTAGAAACGCGTGACTATTTGTGAAGAGGAAGGCAGAATTGTATTACATCCGCATTTCAATACAAAGTTGTAACACTAATGTGATTGTAATACAAGATGTTACGGATATAATTTCAAGGGACTATTAAATATTCTAAAGTATGGAATGCAATATTATTAACTTCAAGGTCAAAGAACACTTGTGTATCCACAAAGGCTTATGCAAATGATTAAACACCAAGATTATGCCAATTATAACTATGTCCTACTTAGGTTATTGCTGCAATACAAAAAATCTTTTTTTACCCTTGTATCGTTTTTAAAATGTTTTTATATGTAACTAATTCCTATCACTATCATTTTGACGATGCTGTTGATTAGTGATCCTAACTGCTAAGCCAGAGGTCGTGGGTTCGATTCCCACCCAGGGCAAATAATTGTGTGATGAGCACTATCATTTGTTTTGTGTTTGTATGTAATTAATATAAAATATGTGTGTATTTACGTACGAATGCCGTAGTGGTATAAGCGGTCGCCACGCCGCTTCCTACTATGCCGAGTGTTGTGGGTTCAAACCCCACATGGGACGACACTTTGTGTGATCCACAAATTGTTGTTCTGAGTCTGGGTGTTCTTTGTGTCCATTTCATGTATGTTTGTAAAATCAGATATATTCCTAGTGCGGGAGTTGTCTTTTATAAAAAAGAAAAATTTAGCAATATATAAGTATGTTTATCAGCAGTCTGGTTAGCAAAAGGACAGGCTCTGCCTAGTTTGGAATCAGGAAGTGTGTGTGATGTGTGAGGTTATTATTACTATTCTTAAATACCTTTAATTCAGTAAACACGTGATTTTAAGCACATGTAACTAATTTGAGATCTTTATATGTTAAAATATAGCAATTCTCCTTACAGTAAATATTCTATTTACGAAAAAAGTCAAAAGTGAGGCCGTAGGTAGTGGTTATGGGATTTGAGAATTATTTAAAGACATGGGCTCATGCGACGGCTATATTCTACTTCTAGAGAGCTGCACTCATCTTTTATTTGACACACAGAGCAGATAGAAGAAAGGCAGACTGTCATACACCATTTGCCAAAACATAACGACTGTCAGTTGAGTTCAATTCTGAGTCGGTTATTTATTAACTAATACCAGCAGACAGACGATGTCCATTCTGACACCTCGTTAAATTACGAAAGCATTTCCCACGCAGACTAGACGGCGTCTGTTAATAAAGCTCGACAGCATGGCTCTACAGTATAATCAATTTCATAACACTAAGACTGATTAATTATATAATCATATGTATGCAGAGAAAGTCAAAGGTTCTTTTTTGTAAGTAATAAATAAATGACATATTGCCAACTGTTATTTCGTCGAGTGTTGAGGGTTTGACCCACTCACGGGACGCCACGGTTCCGTGATTTACAGATAATTGTTCTGAGTTTGCGTAAACCTTGAAATCTTCCGTAACCTTGTATTATAAGGGCGTTTTTTTCTTTTTTATAGTATAGGGAGCAAAGTAGTAGAAGGTTCACCCTATGGTAAATGACTACCGCCCATGGAGATCATTGATAACCCAATCGTTTTTGCTCTTTGATGGAATTTTGTCAATTTGTTCAAATTTGACAAAAAAGTTCCATAAACATATTCCATTCCAAAAAGTTTAATATTATCTAATTCTTAATAATTAATAGAGATGGAACTTGAACAGAAAAAGTTAAAAAGAAAATCTTTGAAAGGAAAATCGTTGGAAATAACATCGGTGATAAGAAAATCTTACATTTGGACTGGACACCATCTAACGGCTGACTTGTTACCTTGCTTATTTTAAACTAAAACTTACTTATTTCCCTCTTAATGTTTTGTTTGTACATTTTTAATTTTTTTTCTCCAAATTTTAACTCGCAAAAACTATTTGCACAGTAAATAAACACTGGACAATTTTATACATATAATAAATTGCACCTTACACAGTCACGAAGAGACTATTGTAGAGAGTTGCCTTCGGGAAACATATCTGAATTTTGATTACATGATTGTAATTTTACTCACGTCGGCAAATTTATAGAAAATTTCATTCGCTAATCAAGGTGAAAATAATGATTGTGTTATGTATTTTCCAATGAATGCGAAAATGATAAGTGTTACACGCTTATAACTAACGTATGTGATTATTTGAATACGAAAATTTCGGCTATTAAGATGACGAATAGTAGATAAAACGTCACTCACACAATTGTTTTTATCTATACAAATAAATAAAATTGAAGTGTCTGTTTGTAATGTCAAAATAATAGTTTTTTTTTCACGCTCACAGGGTTATTCGCACGATATCTATGCCTAAAAACCAGTTTGAATATTTTTTGTCTGTCTGTCAAAACGGCTGGATCGATTTAGACAATGTTTTACAATCAGTTAGCTGTCTACATAAGGAGTAACTTAGGCAATTTTTCTCTCAGAAAAACCCTATAAAATTTCCCCGGTCCGGGAATCGAACCCACTTTTTCAAATCCCACGCAAACGAAGTCGCGGGCACAAGCTAGTATTCTATATAACTTTAATTCTTCATTGTAATAACTACTGTTTAACAGGAATCCATACTTATATTGTAAATGTGAAAGTGTTTTTGTTTGTTTGTTACGCTTTTACGTCTAAACCAATAAACCGATTTAAAAAAAACACCAACGAAAAGCTACATTTTCAGCGAGTAACATGGGCTACTTTTTACCGCGATAACTTACAAACTCACAGCCGGAGCCGGGGGCAAAAGATAGGATTTATATAAAAGTCTTCTAACGTGACATAGATACATTAATTCAAGATATATTCGTAGACATAAAAAATGTAGGTACATAAGTTCATTGTTAGGTTTTCGCAAGAACTTTTATTTTGTATAAAATTGTCGGTACTTGCCACACATCAACAACAACATTTAAACGTTGGGGCAATAGTTTGTTACTTCGGCGATAATTACACCTTGACTCGTTTACTATTGTAATATTTGAATGTGTTCGTACATGTTGATAAAATCGAATACTAAAAAAGGGAGGCATGTTTTTAAAAGTTCACTGCATTAAAAACAATACTAATATTATAGCGAATTATTCCTTTGTCTCGAGTATGTCTCTAGATAACATAAGTCCAATAATTACAATTCAAAACAACCTGTTAAGGAATTTCAGATACTGAACAAATATGTAGTACTCGCGTACTGCCATATTAATGGTTATGTAACTGCTATTAATACTATGACACATTAGTACCAGTATTGTCGGAAATATTTCTTTTAGGACAAATATTTTCAAGAGACAACGTCCCAAAATACTCGTAATACAGAATGCTGAAGGGTGTTTGGCCGCTTTATAACAACCATAAAGGTTATATAGAACTAATATAGGTAATATTAGTTCTATCAGAATTAAATCTTTATAGTAACTACCTATCTAGTATATTTAGAAAAAAAAAAAACACTTACCAGTTTGTTCAGCTTTAGTCCCATCACTAGTTTCATAAGCGTAGTGATATCCATCTTGATTAATATCATTTTCGTATCTCAAGATCTGGGCCTGAGCACTAGAACTGCTACCCCCACGGAAATTACCTCCTTGAAGTGCTGCAGGACCGGAGCTATGGCTTGTCTCATAGTTATAAGGCGCTTGAAGATCAGCGTTGGAACCACCAGATGTTTCAGCGTGAGGTGGCAATAATGGGGAGCTGTCTAAGCGAGCTGCTGCCGCTACAGACGCGAAGGCAAGAATAGCGAACTGAAAGAAATAGGAAATAGAAATTAAAGTAGTCCAATTATTTTTATTGAGGCTTTTTTTATTATCTACAAAGTAACTAAACATTTATAGCATAAGTTAATCATTAATTTAACATTTATTAATTAATTTATTCATGTAAATAAATAAATTCTTAAAGTCGTAGATTCAAAAGGTTTTTAGTTTGATGTGAAATATTTACAGGTTAAATGCAAGCTTTTGGTCATAAATAAATGTAAATAACAAATAGTTCTTTTACACAATTTTATAACAATAATATGGTAATTAAATGAATTGACAACATTATGGCTAATATTGAAAAAATAAAACAATTTAAATATATTATTACTTTTAAATTTCACGTATTTGTAGGTTGAAAGTAGAAAGAGTATAAGAACTGGCTGTAAAAATATTGAGTCCAAAAAAAAAAAAATTTGGACCGTTTAAAAAATTTGCCTAGGTATTTGTTGAAATGTTTCTGTATTCTTAGATACTCCGAACTTCCTTGTCATTTCTGTGGTTATTTCTTAGTCTTATAATGATACTGTGACATTTGCAATATTGTGGTGTTTCAAGTGCGGTCAAACAAGAAAAAGTTTGAAGAAGGAATCTTATCTCGAAGTGCCTTTGTTACAAAATGATTTAAAGCTATGCAAACATGATAGCTTAACTTTAAGTGTAAATAGGTCTAGAAAAATAATTTTGACTAAAAAGGGAAATCTGCATTGTGTTTATTGATTATTATGGAATTTGTGAGTCGGTTTAAATCTATAAAAAAGTTTATTTGAAAAAGGAAAGATGTTATAAATATTTTGTAAAAGTAACAAAAAATAATAAGTAGTAAATAAATATTAGAACTATAAATACATACAACATATTTAAATGTTGAATGAAATTGATATTGTGATTTAGTTTCTTCCATATTAGTTCCAATAGTTAAATCGAATTTAAAAACTGACTTTTAAATGAAATCATAATTGAAATGTCTGCTAATAGTTCTAAATTGAAGGTCTCGTGATATATGACCCTAGATTATACGTCGCGAATCTGTTTCGTAGTTATCTAAGCTACAAATATCAGTAAATCCGCAACTGAATATAACAGGATCTTATAGAAAGGTGTCCTCAAATTTTAAGGTCGTTTAGTATACTTAAAGTAAGTATTTACTAGTGGTAAATAAATACCTACTTATCTCTATTTACTAAATTACATTTTAATATGCTTAGTGGATGATAGAATGATTGCTTTTTTCTCCTAACAGATAGGATTCATTATTGTTTCTTCCTATATTCATAAGACATGTGTATATATTATGGTGCTCAATAAACAAATTTAATTGAATTGTTATATAACTTTGAAAATTAAAATTTCTAGGAAAGGTCATGGAAGATTCCTGTGGTAACAATCATTATTTTAAAAACTAGTAAATTGATCTACGAAAGACTCGTAAGACAGAGACATTACATGAATTAAACTCCAAGTATTGAATGTTAATGTTCGTTCAGATTTTTCTAAAATATCTGCATGAATAATAAAAACAGATCATTGTCATTTACATCATAGGGGAGAGTAACCAATATCGAGCCGGCGCTTAAATTGCCGCCGGTTCAATATTGGTTGCTCTCCCCTATATACCAAATTATAGGACATGGTTTTTAGAATTATGCATCTGCACTAACATTCAAAATATATTTTGAATATAATTTAATTTAAATCAACTTTTGCTTTGTGAAACTTTTTTTTTTAAATTCGAGCACCCGTTCTGTTTTGATAAATAGATTCACTACATGAAGCACTGAACAAAACTGAAATCAGATTGAGATTTTACTATGTTGATAGGCTAATAATTTAGAGCATTGTAAAATTGAAGTGAAGCTTGGCTATGAGTGGAAAATGATTATTTCAACGATTATGATTATATAAATAAACTTTTAAATAAAAGTAAAATAAATAACTTAGCAATTTAAAACACTGAATAAGACAAATGATTTTGAAGATTAGACATTAGATTAAAGAAAAAATATGTATGACAAAATTATTAAACGAAACACAGAAACACTAGAAATATTAAGGACAAACGCAATCACGCAATCACTGATAACATAGAACACAACCACATCACCCTGACACTTGAAATAGAAAGGTCTGCACTTATTGCACCAAGTAAATATTGAATACTAACAAAATTCATTGCTGATGTGTCCTCTAAGGAAGATGAGAGTGAAATGTGTACGAATCAAGTGAATCTACTACGTTTTATACCGATGCTTACTCTACTCAATATTTTGAGTGATATATATTCTGATACATTTAAAGATCCCACTTCTATCTTCCACGGCATGCTATATTGAATTCTGTCATTTCGTCTGTAAGGTTCGTTTCAGTTTTAATGTCAAGTACGAGCAAGGACTGGTAAATTATATTATTTATTAATGAAATTAAATCGACGTGTGTATTCTGCGTGTGGCCTCGGTGCATTCGTTAAAATTTTAAAATGTATTTTGACAAATGAGGATTGTAATTTTTTAAGTCGGGCTTACAAATATGGCGGCTAGTCTGTTTGCTGACTTGTTTATTTAGTCTAATAAGCACTTTAACTGAAAAAAAGGAATGTAATTTATTCGATAAGTATATTTTTCAAGTCTTTGCAAAATGTGAAGATTGTAATAAATTGTTTGGCATTGTAAGTTAATAATATATTATTATTTACAAAAGATAATAACACTGAATTAGTTTTAAATCGAGGTTTAACAGCCTTTGACTGTAGCCTTCTCAAAGGAGGTATAATAAATATTGATTAAGCGAAGTTAAGAAATCCCTAATAGTTCGCTATTGTTTCCGGCTGATTTTATTGTGTGTTTGTACCTACTAATAATAAGTTACTAGGTAAATATTATAATACATGTTATTACTATCACATATTATTACTTATTAGCCAAAACAACATATTACGTTTATTTTATCCATGTATACGTCTCATATTTTTTTTCTAATGAGTGATTATTATTTAAAATCTTAAACTGCGTTAAATCTATTTACAAAAATTATTCACATTAATAAGTTTCTTATCAGAAGTTACAGCATCTAATTCGAGTACTTTTCGGAGTTATTCATACGGACTTCAGAGTTTCTTGAATGAATCCAAAGCGCCATTGTTAGGTTCATATCAAATATGATTAGGTACTCTCTACCTAACACACACAAACACAGCTGACGGTGAAGGTGAGCTCTGACGCGTACTCCTTAAACGCACTCCTAATCCCAGGCGCTGTCGCAGTCGCATGTGTTATCTATCAGGTGATGGACCCGGTACCCGCACGCTGAATCAATAGAAGGCTAAGAAATCGGTCTTTCACTATTGGGGTCAGTTTTTTTTTTTTCTTTACAAAGGGACTTTACAAGTATTCATGAATTTGTGGATCAAACAAAGTGTAGTCCCATGTGGGTATCGAACCCACAACAGTATTAGGAAGCGGCGAGGCAACCACTTAAATCACTACGCCATTTTTGCAGTTATATAAGAAGAGTAGTATTATCCACTAGCCTGGTTTATTGGCATTCCGTCCGCGTGTGAAGTATCGTGTCGTCATGACAATGATGGCACCGTGACGTTGACTTCAGGCCGATCTGACACAGGTACTTGCCGAAACAACCCTGTCCGGAAAGCACCTTTGTCATCCGGAAGGTGAGCGCTCCGTCTTTCTTCTCTTCTGGAGAGGAAACACGGAGCGGTGGCAAGACCCGTCCTACTAGATTCTAGTAGGACGGGTCTTACCACCGCTATAGCGGCGTGCAGAGCTCGAGCAGGTCTGATCGCTGTGACTTAAACTGGCTGATTTCAGAAAGCTAAGTCTTCCAACCAAATTAAATCTATATTTGTTAATAATGTGTTTTTTTTTCTTACAAAAATAGTGGGCTTTGGAGGTATCTTGTGTAATCTCAAGTTTTATTTTTGATCAAGGTAATAATTGATAATAATAAATAAAAATTAATTAATAATAATAACTTGATTAAATGATAATAATCTTGTTATTTTATTATTATTTAAGCAGTACAACTCTTAAAGAAGTAGGTGTCCACAAATCTGGTTGACACTATTTCAGTTGTGTTTTGGGTAAAAATATTACTACAGTAATATATTTATTTCAAACTTTATAATAATATATTTAAATTTATTTTCTATTTATATGCCCTCCTGTCTTCTACCAAGTTTTGTTGAAATTAAGGAAGTTAAAGCAGAAGCCTCCTGTAGTTTTTTAAAAAGAGATCGCGGACGACAATTTGAAACATGTACTTAAAAATTATGTACAGAAATACTAAAATATGTTAACAATCTGTTACAAAATGAAAAAATACATAACGACTTGTAAGCTCTTACATAAGGAACTATGTTACAAATTCGAGCACTAAACAATATCTAGTATAAACTATTATATTTATTAATATAGAAACCGAGATATCAACATCTGTGTAAAATATTGAGCCCTCCGGTCTGGCGTCGGTGGCCTATGTTGCTCTATGGTATAAATTACTCTACTTAAGACCTAAAATAATATTTATTTATGTATACATCATGCACTTTTGGTGCATTGGCGGACTTAATGCTCAATGCATTCTCTATCAGTCAACCTTTGGATGATGCAAAGATAAAACGAAGTAGGTGCATTTTGGTTAAAGTTTGTTTGTAGTTATAATATCAAATACGCATACATAAACCTATCCTACACTAGAATCCATACACATTATACATATGTACATACATATATCTAAATACATATAAACTTACATAAATACGTACATACCTAAATAAATACCATTAATAATAGTAGATGACAATCATACGTCAGTTGATTCTGCCAGTTGTTTTACAAAATACTGCTTCACTTTAGTTTTGAATGAGAAAGTGTTGGTGGCCATCCTGAAATCCTTATTCCAGAGAAGAATGGACTGCACAATAAAGGATGAGCCAATAAACTCAGTCGTGTGGGGAGAGGAAAACGAAGAAGAAGGTTATTAGAGGATCGAAGGTTTCTGTCTTGATTACTACATAAAAGTTAGAAATAGGAGTTTAAATATGTCGGCGAAGATGGGTTTTTTAAGATAGAGTATAAGACAGTGAGAGCGGGTAGTTTTCGGCGTAGACGAATTGCGGAAAGCGGATACATGATCAAATTGGGTATGTTTCAATAACATAAATTTATTTAAATTTATATCAATGATCAAATATTAGGTATGTTTAAATAATATAAATTTATCTTCGTCGTTTCAACCCTTTCAACGTAAGTATTTATGAATCTGAATGACTATGAATTGACTGCACAGATGGCGTAGTGGTATAAGCGGTCGCCACGCCGCTTCCTACTGCGCCGAGTGTTGTGGGTTCAAACCCCACATGGGACGTCACTTTGTGTGATCCACAAATTGTTGTTCTGAGTCTGGGTGTTCTTTGTGTCCGTTTCATGTATGTTTGTAAAGTCCCCCGCGACACAGGATATATTCCTAATGCGGGAGTTGTCTTTAAAAAAAAAAAAAAAGAAAAAAAAAAAAAAAAAAAAACATGTTTATTCATCAGACTTTAACAAATGTCGCCTATTACATCTAGAGCCTTTAAAGATCTCCTAACATTTGAGTCGCAATGTTATAAACCTTTAGTTCGTTTCACTAATGTCGTTAATAAAATGTAAATTTTCGTAAGACATGTGTTGAGTGAGTCGTTTTGGAATGAAGAATGGAGGTCTGTCAAATGTTTGTTAAGTGGCACACTTTAGGTCTACGTGCTTATTGTCATTCAGATAAGTATTGTAAATAAGTTGGAGAGTCTGGGGACTCAGAACAACAATTTGTGGATCACACTCTGTGTCGTCCCATGTAGGGATCGACCCGGCATGGCGAACCGCTAAACCACTACGCCACCCGTGCAGTCGAATACATTGATGCAATTATTGTACTTGATTTAATATGATTCCCTTGTCCCAGTGGCCTTTCTAATCACATAGCCTCATTTGCAGGTCAGTCCCTAAAAATGTAATCGTTTTGACATTAGGAACAAGCCAAAACCCTTTCTCCTGGGTGGGAATCGAACCCAAGACCTCTGGCTTTGCAGTCAGGGTCACTTGACACTACACCAACATGCCAGTCAAAGTTTCACATAACGATGATGCAGAAGATATAATACCTTCATTTACCATATATAAACTATGTAAATACCAAAATAATTACATTTAAATTCGCCAATTTTCTCACGGAACACTTATCTACACTAAATAAATAAGAACAAACATTTTAATTGCTATACACACATAATCGATATCATTTAAATGTTTATGATACGTATTAATACGAAGATCATGCAGAAAATCTCGTAAAACTATAAAATAGGGGGTCAGTATGCAGCCAAGATCAAATAAGTCACGGACCCAAATGCGTGCACACTAGAACCATTATTGGTTCACAAATTAGACTAGTTGACCAACGCAACTTCGTCTGTGTCTCGTAAATAAAGATACATTTTCCCAGTTTTTGCAACATTTTTTATTGATGCTCAGCTCCTATGGGAGGTAGTGTGATATTAAATAGCCTTCGTCGATAAATGGGCTATACAACACTAACATAATTTTTCAATTCGAAGCAGTAGTTTCTGAGATTGCACTAATCTCAGCACTTAAACAAACAAACAAACTCATGAGCTTTATAATATGAGTATAGAACTGTACCAATTTATTTTAATTAATACGTAATTGTTACATTCAAATCTCATCATCATCTTGATCATATTTAATTTCCTTGAGAGTGTTACGAAACTTTTTCAGTAACTATTCATACCTCCTTATAAGGTGGGCTGATGATATTATTCTAAAGATCACAAATTGAAGGCCTCTTCCGAACAGTCTTCTAGGGGGCTATTGTATGATGATTCACAAGTATTGAATTAAGTCACTTGTAGTACTTAATCTCAAGAAGTATCATAATCTGACACTGACATTTGTGATTCTAATCTAATCTGATTTGTAATTATAATTTACCAAAAAATTAAAATCTTATTCGCCCAAATTTTGGGGTAAAATTTAGAAACTGGTTTTTTAAATTATTTTGATTTACCTTCTTTATAAGTATTATTGTTTTAAACATATAATGTTAAGTAGTTATCATAATACCCTTTGAAAATGCCGTGAGGCGAAGCCGGTCAGGTTT